TACTGGCCACCTAAATTTCATCAACATAAGCAGTAGCTGGAAAATGACCCAAATTGGCAATTCTGCAGCCAGATCGCCTTTCTGGGAGCTCATTACCGGCTCTAAAACCACCGGAAACCATTCCATGTTCCTATTTACCGTTATCCTACCTCTTATCGCCAACATTGATTTCATGAACAGTTTTTTGCGACGCGACCGCAAAAGTGTCGTTAATCCTCGTCTGCACCATTTTTCACTAGAGCGCACGGATTGATCATGGCAAGGAGAGCGAGTCATCTCGAGTGCGCAGTTGAGACCTGAAATTACTGCGAGTGCGAGTGCGAAGCTGCCGACGTTGCGGCAGTGACTTCTTTGTCTGAACCCGAGCATTTGCTTCCCTGTTGAGTCATAGTAGCCTCGTGAGCCATAGTGCTGATATTCAGCCAATTTTATATGGTAGGGAATTTGGAATGCATCGTCTAGACAAGAATTGACTGAGATGCTCTTGGTTTGAAATCACTTGTTTTGCCGGCGAGTGCTCAAACCACAATCCGGGAGGCAGCTGCCCCGGTTGTGTGGCTCCTATGGGGCTTCGAACGAACAAATGCACTGGAAAGCGCGGGTACGACCAACTTCCCACCCCAAAAACTACCCTCGTGTATCGTTGAAAATGGTCAAATTTCCGATCATTACAGCGTTGCAGTGGACGAAGGTGAGCATATGATATTCTAGGAGTCAGCGACTACCGCAGGAGAATCTATGGCAATGAATCCCCCCGTGCTATACGATACAGGGGGCTGCTGCTAACATGGCATGATCTTGAGAGTGAGCATTTGAAAATCTGCCTATGGCGCTGACTTCTCTTGTGCTTTGCTCAAATAGGAGCCTCCTAGTCCGCAAAGTAAGGATCGACGACATATCCTCGATTACATGGATTTTCTCACGCAATCAATCAAAGAGATGACCTATGTACACGGTCCAAGGCAGTCACCACGGCCACTGGTTTGCTCTTAGGATATGAGATCATCATCAGACTGCGACTGCAGCCCCTTGCTTGCATGCGCCTTCCCTTTCCCTAAGCTGCGCCTTCCCCTACGACAGGGAAGTTCCTCTGCCACAGGGAATCTACCACAGGGAATCTACCACAGAGAATCTACCACAGAGAATCTACCACAGAGAATCTACCAAAGGGAATCTATCACAGGGAAGCTACCACAGGAGGGTGCCAGAGGGGAGGTCACAGGCAAATTCCCTCACCAGTTCCCGATGGGAAGCGAGGCAATGTCGCCCTTGCTTCTCCTACCGTGCCGAAGCCTAGGTGAGCTCTCAGGGAACCACAGGCACGGATTGGGACTGCTCGTATGGTGTATGTCGATGTGGTTGATATTCCTGAACGCCAACGATTTCTGTACCATGAGTTGTGATCAGCAGGTATTTGATTCACATTCGATCGCTCACGACTGAAGATTGGAAGCCACTCAAGCTCGAGATCAAATGAATCCGTGGGGCGCAATGCGCTCGATTCCCTTGATAATCGCCGTCCTCTGAATCAGCATTCCACAATTGCCGCCAAGCTTCACATCTGCACAGAATGACTCGGGGGTTGCGCGAGCTGACAATCTCTCACACTCCTCTAATGCCAGCGACTGCCCGACGTGTCACAGAATGGTCGCTCGCGCAGTAAGTGTATCGCATTTGATGTCGACTGATCGTACTTTGAAAGGTGTGCTGATTGCAAGGTTCTGCCGAGATTTTCTTATGCCTCAGCTTCGACGCTGAATGCGGACTCTTATGCGTCAGCTGCAATCTTTGTTACATTCCTTATGAACCTCTGCCGTTTGCATCGTAAATGAGTCCGTTGTCGGACTGCAGCTTCTGCCGCATCTTTTACATTCCTCAGACGTGATATTCTTTATCGAATGGCATTCGCATTGTTCAGACATCCACATTCCCAACCAGATTCTACACATCTCTCTACGCAATGCGATGCCCAAATCATGACAAAGGGAACAAGACGGTCTGGCATATATATAGACGAGTGCATCCAGATCCATTTTGACCAGACCAGCAATCAATCATCCGTATCGCTTGAGCTCAGCGCTGCGAATCTGAGGGACGGCATCAAAATGGTCCCGACACCACTTCTCGAAGGTACTGTAAATTATACAACATGGGCACCGAGACTAGTACAGAAGCTTCGGCAGCAGCAGCTCGTACACTGTATTGACATGCGCTTTGCTGTAGCACCGCCCTGGACAAAAACCCGTGGTCGGGTGGTGTTCAGCGACGACGCAGGAGGAAGAGCACTACAGCTCATCTGGGACCATTGTGGTCCAGCAGTCCGACGAAGCATCCGCCTTCCTCGCGACGTAGATTGGCCGGTCAATGCATACTGGCTGTGGCAACGGCTAGCTAAACTGTATGGGCCTCTTCAGAAATGGCGTCTGGCGCGGCATACGAAGACAAACGCACTTTTGGGTCAGCATAACTTTGTGCCGTGGGTCATGGACCTTACTGAAGAGGCAGAGCGTTTTGGTCTGGAAGAGTTCATTTACAAGCGTGCAATGGTTGGACCCATACCCGGCCATAATCTTCGCTCCAGGCCAGAAAAGGCACGCTCGCTGATATTAAGATATTGTAGTGCCGGCGTCATGCGCCGCATAGCTCCGTCTGTCCTCGCAGCAGCTCCAGCGCATGAGCTCTATGAGTATCTGGTCATGCAATGTCAGCCTGAATAGAACGATAAGTATAGATACAAGACGTGTCAGGATCATAATCTCAGGGTTACGCCATCCCGTGACATTAATTTCGCGTCCTCGTTGTTTGCTATCATTGCGAAATAGACTCGGTGATGTTGAATCCCATTCTGCTTGCTTAAATTGGCCGAAAGGTTTTGTTGAAGTTTTGTTGAAATTTGGTTGAAATTCTCGTTAAAGGCTTCTCGAACGCCTGCCAAGAGCTGGCTGATGTCGGTCAATGGTTTGACCAAGACTCCAAAAGCCCTGTTGGTGGCTAGCTCTTAGTCTGGAGTTCAAGGCCGCGCAAGAATGTGGCTCCGCAGTCTGGTCATCATATGAAATAGAATTAGGCTAATCAAGGAATACATACAGCGATCTGCTTTATCATATTGGAGGCACGGCAAGGCATCTGCATGTGTTACAATTGAAGAACAAGTCAAACACGAGGACATCTGCTTGGCTCGTGCGACTTCCATGACATCCCCAGGTGAACCCCTTTGCGCACCCTACCAAATTAGGTAAAATGAGCCGCGGTATATTGCCTAGATTGGAACAAAACAGCATCAAAACCATCAAGTCTTCACCGCTATATAACGTTACCAGGTACTAGAGCCTGAAGTGCAAGAGAGCAAAGTCGGTCAACTTTGTTGAAGACAGATGTAGTTTTCCAATAGCAGGCACATTCGTCAGAAGGTTGAGAAGCGGTCGCAAGCTCTCTTGCAGTAGCTGGCCCTCGCAATCGAAGAAGTGGCTCAGGCTGGCCTGGAAATGGTGGCGGACCATCTGTCACATGTTGTAACCGGACCATAGTACCGAGTCACCATCTAACCACAAAAGTACGCTGCGCGATACGCAAAGAGCAACAATCTTGCAGCTCAGCGTTGATGGCAAGAAGTTGCAGCAAAAGAATGGACGTCTATTACCTGGAAACGCATCATTCCATTTGATACAGTCTGCTCTATGTTTCAAAGCTCCAGACCACAGGTATATGATGCATTCCTGGCCGAAACCATAGTCCGTGACATTGTGGGCAATCTGTTTAACGCTCTACCTAATATTCTTGGTGTTTGACGAATTTTTGGGGCAAGCTTGCTAGTGTTTCAACAAAAGAATTGTGAAGCGGGGGAGACGCCGGACACCAAGGTGGTGACTTCACGTAGGCGCTTTACAAGAAATTGCATGAGCATTATACCGGCAAGATGTATATAAGATTGCCATCAGAATAGCCCTCTACCATATCATATAGGCCTGGGCAACATTTACGTTGTCCGCATAGATGGTTACCGATAGGGGTTGTATCCAGCTCTGGCGATGTGGACGGACCTTCAGGTATGCTATGGATACTCGTTCGCTCTGGACAAGACTGAGAAGTGTATCCAGCACGGAAGCAGGGAACCGGTGAAGAGCTCGCGTCAAGGCTGGGATCGGATGGTGCCGAAACCAATGAATTCAAGGGATGGAATATCTTAAGCACATCTATCGCTTCGACGGGCTTGCTTCAGCGGTCGTATACATGCTGACTGGATCGCTCTCCCCAAACGTTTTAGTATAAAACTCCTCACTCCTCATGATAAGACCAGACTCGCGATCAATCCACGCCCTTAACACTGCTTCGTACTCAAACGTCCTGTTGGTCGGCTCGACCTTTCCTGCAAGGTTTCGTTCGAATTTGCCTGTTCCACGATATTGCAGCCATCCGCCTTCTTCGGTAGGGGTCACGTGGATAGCTTTGGCAGTGAAGTCCGGGATGGAATGCAACCACAATGCCCAATGGTTGTCTAGGACTTCAGCCCCTGTACGTTCGATATTGAAGGCGTGATCCACGAGCGTGCCTTTCTGCGGATCATAAAGGGCAGTGAGCGCTGCAGTGTTTGAGGGAAAGTAGGTTGGCCAGCTTGCCAGTATCCGCTGGTTACGAGCAAGCACATCGTCGTTGATCGGTGATGCCATCATTATGCCTCAGTATGGAGAAATGTTTTGATCGTAAGCTTGTCATGTGCAATCAGACGACGGACCTCCTGGGCTGTATATTTATAATTCATCAGTAGCAACCCTTAGTGTCAGCAGCATGAGGGCAGATCATAAGCTTCGACATGATTGTCGATCTTGGACGAGCGCGGTATCCCGCCGTTCTGAAACCTTCATCGTCCCTTCACGATAGTCGAATCGATGGTCCCATCGAAAGGTTAGATAAGCTGCACATGATCGTGTCGTCACAAACTATAGCTGTTGCCAGGCAAAAACAAAAGAAACCGACCTTTTTCAGGTGGAGCCTTGAAAGACTGGCTGCTCGCGGAATCGAACCGCGGTCGAGACGGTGTTGCAGTTGTCTGTGCTGGACACTCCACAACGTCGCATGCTACCCCTACACCAAGCAACCTTGGGTGGTGCTGAAGATAATTCTTCGGGAATCCGCCGCTTTCTCCGATAAACTATATACTTTGGTCAAATATACACCACATCGCATCTCCAGAGGAATTGCGAGCATTTATAGTGTCTCCAAAATAAGACCTACTTGCGTCTAGTGAGCAGGAAATAATGATCGTACCCAAATCCGCGGGGGTGTTGGAAAATTTGCATAACCCATGCGTCCTCAAAACAAGGAAAGTGATATTGAAGTCTGATCGCTCCTGGACATCTCCCGTCATCGATAAAGGGCCTGAAGTCTGCTCTATTGGAATATCTGGACATTTACGCCGTGTACGGCTGGCAAGCTATAAGCTCGTCCACGTCGCATGGTCAGCCAAGCTCGAGACTGGGTCATCTACTCGGCCCTCGTGTGGGTGAACTCTTGAAGAGCTTTTCGACAAGCTTTGTGCGAGGTTTGCTCACGTCGGGTGCTTAATTCGCTTGCTTGGACAGCATCAGCTGCAAGAAATAGCAGTCAAAGTGGGTGACGAAAAGTTCATATATGTGGCGGGGTCGAATGGTCTGCCCGTTGGAGGCCCCTCTCACGGCCAACTGTCAGCCCATAAGCACGCTCCAGATCAGAATTACCAATTCCTTGGGAAAGCATTGGTCGATGTTGTCCTACACTGGGGTGATTACAAGGCGCCGCCGGAAGACCCGGTAAGAGTGATCAGAGAAACCAAGTCTCCGTCAACGGTGCGCTGCCTGTACTTGGTTGTGCGTGTACTTGGTTGATTGCAATGAAACAGTGCTGGAAGTTGAAGAACTAGAAGGACGATCCATGATGCTGCGTTGATCCAAATCGTCCTGCGTATGATTGCATCTCATGGAAGCGGATGAGTTCCGTGACACACAACGACGACCGTTGTACTGGTTCGGTGCCTTATGGATGTCTAAGTTGGGTACGAGCAGTACAGGGGAAATTCGATTCACCTGCAGTCTGGAAACGATTACGTTATGCGGTGCCGTTTGGCTGTCACTCCTTACAAGGCTGGTGAGAAGCGGAGGCAGGGACGGAAGTATCTGGTGCGTCATGGTGCATTCTGCTAGTGAGAGGCACAAGAAGCTGGGAAATTAATGGATGGTATACAAAGCTACCTCAAGAATATGAATGCCATTGTCGCCTATACGAGGTAGTGGGGTGTGCAGACGATGTGGTCGATGATGCATTGGATGCACTCCTTTTCAGATCGCAGCTCACGCCACCAATAAGCTCTTGCCCCGCACTTGCTTGCCGGTTAAGGTTAGCTACCGAACACAAGCCGATGTACCCTGGAACTCTTGGCAAACCACCACTGGTCCGCGGAAGAGAGACTCACATGAGCGGCGTGTCTGCAGTGCTGGGCGCAGGAAGTCGCTCTCAGCTGCAGATGTCATTCTCAGACACTCTCCTACTGGTCCTGTGAGCGGCGCATCCTGACGCTGGACAGGTCTTGCTCTGAGATCTCGAGACGATGGCAGAGTCAAAAGAAGCACGTTTGACTTTGGTTAGTCGATCTTGGCTGCCTTGGCCAACCGCTCGCCGAAAGTCGCCGCCACTACCGCTCCGGCTTGCGGCTACCGACAACCTTCTGGAGAAAACACCACCGGAAACGTATAGTCAGCTCACCTGCTCCACCCTCATGCTTTCGCGCCCGCTTCGATGTCACCACTCGCCGACTCTGATAAAATGAGCGCAGCTCAGGGCGATCCAGAAAGCTCGAAAGCTGCCGCTCCGCCAACGCGACAGCCGCTGATTCGCAGCTGTCTGCCTTGCCACCAACGCAGGGTCAAATGTGATAAAGGCCGCCCGTGCGCAGTCTGTGTCAAGGCCAAAACCGATTGTGTGTATCCACCGGAAGGGAAGCTGAAGCGAAGGCGGAGGAAACAGCAGCACGACGCTGAGCTCATCGGGCGAATTCGAGAACTGGAGACTGCAGTCGATCGGTTAGGAAACACCGCTGTCCCTCGCGGAGCTGGGGGTCCCAACAGAATCGAGGGCGAGGAAGTCGCATCTCTCGCCGAGGAATTTGCCAATCTGGGGCCGATCAAACACAAAGGTGCTGCTCTTGTGGTGAAAGAAGACAATGCCCAATTCATCAGCGGCCCTTTCTGGGTCAAGATAACAGAAGAGGTAAATGTCATTGCAAGCAGTGTATCACGGCATCTGTTAATCCCACTCGCCAGCTTGCTGAGTTGAAGGACGCCATACTCAGGCCAGATTCGGACGAGTCCGAAGATGAAGAAGACCCGAACGAGCCGTCGATCCATCAGTCTTTCATCTTTGGAGGTAGCCCATCTGCTGGCTGCACTCCATTGAGTCAATTACGCCCAAGCCCGGAGCACATATTTGCCATCTGGGAGACGTACAAGGAGAACGTCGATACGATAATAAAAGTTCTCCACATTCCGTCCGCCACTTTACTCATGATGAATGCCGTCAGAGATCCGGACGGCATGTCCAAACCTGCTGAGGCTCTGTATTTCGCTATCTGCTTTGGCGCCGTTCTTAGCATGACGGACAATCAATGCCGCACTCTGCTCGGGGACGAAAGGGATGCACTGATCAAACGCTTTCGTTTGGGTACTGAGCAAGCTCTTGCGCGCGCAAAGTTCATGAGCAATTCGAGTCTCACCTCACTACAAGCTTTCAGCCTCTACGTTTCTTTTATCCGCACACTGGACGAGAGTAAGGCTGTCTGGACGCTTGGCAGTCTTGCTGTCAGTCTTGCCATTTCCTTGGGGTTGTACCGAGATGGTACTGTTTTCAACTTGAAACCATTCGACACAGAGATGCGGCGTCGGTTATGGTGGCATATATGGTCTCTCAATAGGATGTTCGATGAAGATCATGGAATATGTTCAAGTGCAATGATCGATTCCATCAATGACACGCAATTACCACTGAACGTCAACGACGAAGACCTGGATCCAAACATGAAAGAATTTCCCCCGGCGCGCGAAGGGTTCACCGCGATCTTCCCCGCCAAAATTCGGTACGAGCTTGCTATTCGCTTCTTAAAGATCCTTCGCAACAAAGACCGATACATCAAAAACCCGCAAGACAGGGATGCCACTGTCGAGGAATATCGCAGTTTGATCCATGAAAACTATATGCGGCATTGTGACACGCGCGTCCCCATACAGCTACTGGTGCACAACCTTTGCAGGCTTATGATAATCAAGCTGTGGCTTTTCTTCTCTCTGCCGGGCACTCTCAGTGCCGCGACCGTGGACTCTGATACCCCTGTTGCGGAGAAAGAACGAGTGTTTGAGACCGCATGCGAAGCAGTCGAGATCTGGATCGCTGTTATTGGACATCCGGAGGCAGCTAGATGGAGCTGGTTCGCAGCTGCATGGATGCAGTGGCAGCTTATTTGCTGGATCATGATCGAGATACCGAAGCGTGGCCTCGATCCAACATCATATCGAGCGTGGGCAGGTATAAAGAAGGCCTGGGCGATCAAACACATTCGGCCATCAAAGTCGGCCACTAGCGTTCTCTGGAAAGCTGTTGGTTGTCTTTGGCACAAAGCGAAGGATCATAAGCATACCCTGGAGCGACAAGAGCGAGAGAGGCAGGCACAAGCTTCTCAGTACAACAGTATACCGCTCGGCTCTCGCCCTATTCCTGTCACTCTGACCTCGCAGGCGATGATGACGCAACATCCTGTGCAGCAAGTCTTGACAGGAGATTACTGGCAATTACCACAGATCACGGCTCCTGAAGCGGTCAATGCCTACTCGCCTTCAAACGAAAGCCCTGGCAATAGCTCCGGTCCCAGCCCACCAGGAGCCGGACAAGAAATAGATTGGGAGAAGATCGGCGAAATCAATCCTTGCACTCCTGGGTGGAACAACTGGGCACCTAGTCTTGGCTCGTGGGATAACATGTTGGTCGACTTCCCAGATCCGGAAACTCTCCCAGGTCATCAGGAGTACACAATGAGCCCCGAGGACATGCTGTCACACGGGCTACCAGTGCCACCTGCTCAAGGGTTCACTGGCTTTGGAAATGGACATGCATGGTAATGACAGCCGTCAATGTCGAAATGATTATCGTGGCATACTGGAATTTCATAGCGTTTATACCCGTTCTCTAATTCTAAATGATTATATGCACTCCTTATGCGTGTCATCCAATATATTCACAAAAAGGGCCGACTCGTGACCAAACATGCCAACCCCGCCCCCGCAATATGCCCCACGCCTGTTGTGTTCCTGCTGACATTCCGGACTTGCCGGGCACTATAATGTTTTGTGTATATCACACTCAGTTCCCACAGATTGACTGACTTTGAAATTGGTACAACTCGCAAGCCCCTACCACCAAGCACCATGCCGCCACAGTTTTCCCGCTGTGATGCCCCCCATGCCAATGTCAAGTTGGTCAAGTTCAAAGAACCCACAGGCGAGGTGATCCATATCGGCCCACTGCGGCTGGATGTACTCGAAGACGGTTCCAATACGGACCGTAGGCTGTCAGCAGTGTACATAACAGTGCCGCCGCACACTCCCGGCCCAGTACAACATTGGCACCAGGTCTGTCACCATCTGCCCCTCCGCACGTTTGACCTAGTCAAAGACTTACCCATCCAGATGCACGACGAGACCTTCCTCGTAATGAAAGGCACCGCAACATTCACCTCTCGGGAGGCGAAGATCACCGCCTCGGAAGGCGACTACGTTGTCGTCCCCACCTGCTCACCGCATACCTTCTCCAACGAGACGGACTCCGAGCTTGTCATGTACAACACCTTCAGCCCGGCCTTCTACATCGACTACTTCCGCGTCATGGGGGCGATGGCCGCCCAGACCGACGACGGCAAACTCACGCCCGCTCTCGCGAAGGAGGCTATGGAACGGTACGCTACGCTGCAGATGGGCACTAGGGAGTTCTGATCCCCCCCTGCATCGCAGTCAATATCTATACATAGATATATGTATGTACGTTTGTGCAGTATGTACACCCTCTCCCCTCCACATCTCTCC